AAAAGGTCAACCTTATTAAGAGGAGTAGCCCAAAATCTTTATTAATTGGTCTGTGTCAACATCTTTATTCGATGTGGGATTATATTCCTTAACACGCCCCCGCAAGATGGTGGCTCATTTGTGCAGACCAATCTTGAAATTCACATGCTCACTTTTTGGAGTCTTACCGGGATCGAATAACTCGTTGGAGCATAATGGGCTCTGATACCATTTCTCGATTTGTAACGACCCGTGTCCCACTTAACGGGCTGTCCCGACCGTTAGATCGACGACGTACTGTCCTCACTGTACCAACATGGGTTTTTTCAGCATGCTTTGTCCTCACTCGCACGCTCCCCGAGAAAACTTCCCAGGGGGTTACCCATCATAGAATTGCTCCAAGCCAAGCACGCTTAACTGTGGAGTTTTTAACGATGGACTTCCGGAAAAGAAGGTGCACCTTGTGATATGAGTAGTACCTATCAAATCTCTTAAACTTTCTTGGTTTGGGGTATTACAATCACCCACCGTTAGACTCGCGACGTCCTCGTCGCGCTTGATCCATCTTAGGTGGAGCTAGGTCCAATATTCCTAACATGGTATCAGAGCTAGGCCCAATTATGCAATGTTGGGTGCCACCCAATATCGATTTGTTCACAGTTGTTTGGCATGGTCCACGCTGTGCGTGAGGGGACGTATTAGAATCCCACATTGCTTGGGAAAATATTAATGATTCACTTAATAAGGTGAGGACAATCCTCTCCTAATGAGCCGGTTTTATTAGGTGGAGTTAGGCCCAATATTCCTCCCCTAGTTCCTATTTATAGGGCTATGTTTTGTTCCATTGTCAAAATCAATCTCTTCATCTATTTTATTCTTTTTACACATGACATACATTATGTAAGCGGTAGAATTGAAAGAGATAATTAAAAAGAGAAAATTCTAGAAAGTAATAAAGAACAATTTCATAATTTTTTGGGAGGCTAAAAATACAGTCAATTGATTCAAGTTAACAATCAACCTAAAAAGTTCAATCTGAATTAATATCTTTAAGCGGAATTGGTTCAAAGATAGATACGACTATTTGAACTTCGTGAAAACAAATTTCATGTATTGCGTCTTGCATAGAGAATTTAGCCCCTACTTTGTTTGGATAAAAATTAATAAACTGTGATTGAAAAGTTGATAAAAGTTGTAGATTTCATTAATGTGTGGTTGGAAATAGTTTTTGAAGAAAATGAATTTTGAAAAATGGAGGTCAAACGGAGGTTTAGGATCCGTTTGATTGCAAAGTTGGAAAATGAATGGAAAGAAAATAAATTTCAGGGAATTGAATTGCCTAGAAATTATTTTATTGGAATTGTAATTAATTGTGTTTGATTTGTATAATTTTTCACTTGGAAAATATTGAAAATTTTCATCTTTTGGTGTTTGTTTAACTTTGTTTTCCAGGGAAATTGTATTTTGTGGCACAAATTCCAATGCATTAATTTCGACCCAAAATTGATGGAAAACTCCTCGTGTGCTATGGAAAGCTGACGTGGCACATTTAGTGGGTGTTTGGCACCCATTCTTTTGAAGAATGAGTTTTTGAATAGTGATTGATCTAAAAAATGTGTGGTTAAAAAGTAAGAAAAATTTTTGGGTTTATGTATAATATTATTTTATTTGGAGAATCTGTGGTTAGAAATGAGTACTGTAGAAAAATTAGAATGAGAATGAGATAAAAAATGGGTGTCAAACGGGGGCTTATATAGTTAATTTGTCCACTAGGAATAAAAATAAAATAAAATAACCCAAAATAAAAACATCATCCTCCCATTTTCATTTTCTGCACCATGACCGAATTCATTTCCATTTCAATTTCAGTTCAACCACATGTATTAACAATATTTGCAATGCAAAAATCACGATCGCAGCCTCCTCTTCCACTTAACACACCCGCCTCCTAGTTTCTTGACTTTCGTCTTCAATGGTTTCTTGAAAGTTTTTTCTACAATTCAATGGTATTTTTGAATTCGAGCTAAATTGACAAATACCCATATATGTATCTTGTCTGCCATAATGAGTAAGAGGTAATAGTGGTGGTGCGCAACCGCGATTCTCAATGTCGGCGTCGGAATTTGGGATGCACTGTGCGCGATTCGCTGCATTCGAACAAGTAAGAGATGCAATCTGTTATAAATTGTTTCTTGGTGATGTTGGACCATGAAATTGCTCACCTTGATGAGTATTAGGGGCAGTGGCGGATCCAGGATATCAAGTCAGCTAGGGCGGTCGTTGATAATCGTAATAATAAGATTTTTTATTAATATTTAATTAAGTAATGTTAAATTTTTTTTAATCAATATATAAATACATTAAAACGTAAAAAACTCATATACATTTGAAAATATAATCAAATACAACTTAAAATAATAATAAAAAATACAGTTTTCAATTGTATATGTACGATCAAGTTTCAAGTTTTTAACGAACTCAAATAAAATAGTTTATACATAGAATATAATTAAATGGTAAAGACAANAATGTGTGGTTGGAAATAATTTTTGAAGAAAATGAATTTTGAAAAATGGAGGTCAAACGGACGTTTAGGATCCGTTTGATTGCAAAGTTGGAAAATGAATGGAAAGAAAATAAATTCCAGAGAATTGAATTGCCTAGAAATTATTTTATTGTAATTGTAATTAATTGTGTTTGATTTGTATAATTTCTCACTTGGAAAATATTGAAAATTTCCATCTTTTGGTGTTTGTTTAACTTTGTTTTCCAGGGAAATTGTATTTTGTGGCACAAATTCCAATGCATTAATTTCGACCCAAAATTGATGGAAAACTCCTCGTGTGCTATGGAAAGCTGACGTGGCACATTTATATAGTTAATTTGTCCACTAGGAATAAAAATAAAATAACCCAAAATAAAAACATCATCCTCCCATTTTCATTTTCTGCACCATGACTGAATTCATTTCCATTTCAATTTCAGTTCAACCACATGCATTAACAATATTTGCAATGCAAAAATCACAATCGCAGCCTCCTCTTCCACTTAACACATCCGCCGCCTAGTTTCTTGACTTTCGTCTTCAATGGTTTCTTGAAAGTTTTTTCTGCAATTCAATGGTATTTTTGAATTCGAGCTAAATTGACAAATACCCATATATGTATCTTGTCTGCCATAATGAGTAAGAGGTAATGGTGGTGGTGCGCAACTGCGATTCTCAATGTCGGCGTCGGAATTTGGGATGCACTGTGCGCGATTCGCTGCATTCGAACAAGTAAGAGATGTAATCTGTTATAAATTGTTTCTTGGTGATGTTGGACCATGAAATTGCTCACATTGATGAGTATTAGGGGCCTATAATGGAGTATGGCCATGGGTGTTGGAGGGTTGGCCGGAATTGGTGTTGAAATCGTGTTTGAAGGCGTCATTTTGAGCCTGAATTTTTGGTAATTTTGGAACTGTTATGTCCGATTTCTGGTATGAAATTGAAGAGTGGGATGTTGATGGTGTGGAAATCCTATGGTTTGCCTGGCGGTATAGTGGTTGAATTTTGGAGTAGAAGGTGCAAGCTCCATGAGGTAGAGCGGCTCAGTTGGGAATTTGAATTCCTTATTTTCGTGGAATTGGGAGTCACGTGCAAGAAAGTAAGAAAACCAATTGTCTGGAAAAAAATTCCTATCAAACAGGTTAAAAGTGGAAAATGGCAAAATAATTTCCACCTTCCTTGAAAAATCTTTCCTATCAAACATGGCCTTAATATATTTAAAGGAATAAGAGGAGAAGCTTCAAATCCAAGATAAATTGAATTTTAATAACTATAAATCTTCAAGACCCAAGTTCATTATTTGTAAGTATTGTTTACATTAATTTTAATTAATTTTTATAACTTCATAAAAAAATTGTATACGTTTTATTTTGTTTATTTACAATTTTAAATTTTCAAGTCAGCCGCAGACATTTAAAGAACTGGGTCTCAAGCTCGAAAAAACGAGGATAATTTCAATTTGTTTTATTAAATAATAAATTATGAGCTGGGCCATGGGCTCATGGATGGCTCAATTCGACCCATGAGGTGCATGAGCTAATCAAAGGGCCGAACCTGATAAGCTCACCAGGCATGTCCTTAATCTCTGTATTTCCTCCATATGCAAGAGCCGCTCCCCCCTCTGAAAGAAAAAAGAGAACCATCTTTCTTTTCCTCTCTACATTGTCCACCCACCAAAAACACACAGAGGTGTAAAAATTCAAGAATTAATATACATTAACAACACTGTTACATTCACAAATCAAGAAAAGCTATGGAGATTCAACAATACAGCTGCTTCAAAATGATGGCCTACTTTCTCCCACTCTTCTGCCTCCTCCTTTCTTGGAGTTGGGGCGTCGCCTATTCCATTCCCACCCCTTTTGCCCATATATCTCCACCGCCATCCTCCGCGGTACTGGCATCCGAGGCCCTTCGCAACCGTGGCTACTCCCTGTTTGCTTCCGTTTTACTTTCCCTCTCCACCACCTCCACCAACTTCTCTGGTACTCTACTGGCGCCCCCAGATTTCGCATTCTCCTTTGCCACTGCCAAGTTCTTGAACAACCGCAGCCCTCCGCCGCGCCCATCCACCTTTCTACTACTCTACCATACTATCAAGCCGCCGCTCGTTCTCACGTGGCTCAGCCTGTCATCGCGTCCTAGTGGCGATGAACTTCGCACCTTTTACAACAATAACTGCCTTTTCTTGTTCAAGAATTCATACAGCGGTGAAATATCGATTTCGTCATCCTCATCGGAGAATCTTATCTCCGCCGTCAAGATTCGGCAGCCAGATCTTTACGTCGATGATAATTTAACTGTTCACGGCATAGATGGTGTATTGGACCCAACATTTGCCACCAAATGTTCTTTTCCTGATGTTGATCCGATGACCCGGATTCATCCTAGTAAGGTGAATCGATCATTTCTTGATCACGCCATAAGAGCATTGAGATGGAGGGGATTCAATGTAGTAGCCACAGCTATGGCTATCAAAAGGCCGGAACTGCTATCTCTATCGTCGGTTACGGTTTTTGCGGTTTCCGACAAGAACTTCTTCTCGCGTTCCGGCGGATTTCATTACGATTTCCAGCATCATGTGGTGCCGGGAAGACAGCATTTCGCTGATCTTGCGAAGTTGCCGGCGAGGGGGAAGGATTTTGATACTTTGGCTCCGAACAAGACCATTCTTGCTCATTCGACGGATGGAACTGTTACCGTCGACGGTATTGTGGTTGACGGCACGGAGGTTTATCATAACCGGTGGATTGTTGTGTTTTCTATAAAGACGTCACTGGATGACGCCATCGATAATCATGCCGCCGTGAAGCCGCCAAGTCCCGATGAAATTCCAGTTTCCGGTAAGTGGGCTCCTTCTCCGCCGCCCTTTTCAGCCAGATCTCCAAATACCAATATGATAATGATACCTTCTCCGCCTCCGGCTTCCTTTTCAGTCGAAGCTCCAAATAGCAATGAGACGGGGGTTTCATCTCCCGTACCGGCACCGGCGTCCTTTTCAGCTGAAGCTTCAAATAGAAATATGACTGGTATTCCATCTCCGGCACCATTATCTCCGGCGAATATTCCTGTAGGTTTTGCTGATGTCCCTCTCAGTGAAACACCATCTCCTGCACCATCAGAGACATTTTTCGACGATTCAACTGGTGCCCACTTTGGAACGACTCCATCACTAGCTCCAAACCTTGCCCGAGGGATTGAAAAAGAAGTTCCAGCGAATGGGTCACTAGGGTCTCCGGGACCGGCACCTGGGCCATGGAGAGATGACTCACATTGTGACATAAACAACGTCGCTTCCCTTGGTGTTGAAGGAGCTGATCTTTTTTGTCCTGTTACCAAATCAAGAAGGTTAAAGGAATTGGACAGTGGTGATGGTGAAGTTTCTGATGATGTGGCTCGATCTCAGCCGTCAATTAGTGAGAAAGAATCTATCAAGGTCAAAATTTCTGAGAATGTCAACATTGCTGATGATCTATTCTACTACACCTGATCTTTGATACGTGTCACTAATCGTATGGTGTAAATATTGCTCCTCTCTCTCAGGTTGCTGTATTCTTTCTGTAGAAATTGATTTACAAATTTCGTATACGAATAAACAATTTGTACTGAAGACTTAGTAGAGAACATATACCGTTTTACATTTGAATTGCTCGACATGTTTGCTAATTTTTTTCATTATGCCATAACTGTTGACCACAGAAGGTGTAACCATTGTATAACTTAACAAACATATACTTAGTGGCATAGTTTGTAAGATCGACTAAATAATTAAAGACAAAAAAGAAGTTAAATATTTCCATGTACATTGTTGTCAATCACGCATAATAAAAAATGACCTTAGAGCATGAGTATGGAACTAGGAGTAAAATAACTTTTCAAATAGTGAAAATAACAAGTTCAAAGGATAACACTATCTCATTGTTCTTCAAATACGACACGACATGACACAACATAGATTGCTTCAAGCATCATAACCGATGGATGAGAACTCAAGTAAATGCCTAACCAACTCATTATCGACCTTCAATTCTCTTATTTAGACAGGTTAGGAGCATACGAACCCCACAATTTTAAAAATACTAACTACTCTATGTTTCAAATGTGTCCATTCCAAGAATGGTTGGAAGAAGATGAAGCATTGCAAAGTGTGTTCCTTCTTTTACAACATATAGTTACTAATTTACCTCCTCGCCCTTCTCACGAGCAATAGAGGCAGATAGAATCCCAAGATCGCAGTTCAAGAATGTCAATGCACTTTCGCACTCGGAGATTATTCTCACTACTGAAGATGGTTCACCAGCCACAGTTTCAGAAAACCCAGCCGCGACTGTAGCGTGTGAATCCCAAAGGTTCTTTAAGTTCCCTAGAAACTGACGAGAGAAAGGAATGCTTATCTATCAGTTTTCCTTATCTTATAAAAAACATTTTTCGAAAAGACATCATCTACAGAAGAAATTGTAGTCTTCAATTACACAAGTTCATTCACAAACATATTCCGAAACAAAGGTTGCAGTCCAAACTAATAATACACAAGGCCAACTAGTGTTCATTTTCATGAAAATTTGATTCTGTTCAATGTTATAAAAAATAAATGCATGCTCCCCAGGTTTTCTAAGTAACAGGCTTAAGAAGAAATGCCATTCGGGTAGGCATGAGGATTATTTATACCAACCTAATTAAAAAAGCAAACAAGAAAATAGATATGAGATATGGAATGAACCCCAGTTAAATGAATCCCTATAGAAACTAATGTATGAGGAACTAGCGTTGTGATACCTCATCTGCATTTTCTATATTAAAAAATTCATTTATGAGGAACTAGCGTTTTGATACCTTCAAAAGCATCTTATACGCTTCCAGTAATCTATTTGCAGCTGGCCCAAAACCATGTAATTGTGGTACCTCCATCATGTGTGTCCAAGGACGGATTTCCTGCACACAGCACAGCATTTAGAAAGTTCTAACTGATTGCAGAGAAGATTGTAATTTGAAGTCACAGGACTGATAAGAGAATAAACATATTAGAATCATTCTCAAGAAATGTCACGAGATTGCGATACTAATTTCAAGACCGTTTGTGCAAATAGAAATGGTATCCACTTTCCTGAAGATCTAAAGGTAGCTTTATACCTAGACTCAACCCAACAACCCATCACCTAACCAAAACAAACCTAAAAGTTATTTTCAAAAAGAAATTATACTTGCTTATCTTAAGTAGTCTTAGAAGAAGCTTTCCAAGCACAAAAACCAAATAATACAGGCACAAGAAAGCATTTTCTCATAACAAAGTTCAATTTAACGATTGTGAAAACCTTGGTGTAAATTGCGTTAAAAGATCTTGCAGTTTCAAGAAAAGATTCCAGATGTTCCCGCAATTGTGCTTCAACTTCTGAGTAATTCTCGTCCGGATTATAGGGATGCTAGACACCAGAAGATAAATAGTTAATGCGAGTTGATCAGGAAAAGAAAATAGGTGAAGCTTGGATAATAAGGAAAGTCAATAAGAGAATGACAGAAGGCAAATGTCAAGAATTTGAGGTAAACCTTTGAAGCTAGATCATCAACCATCTCTTGAAGACTCAGAAGTCTGTTTGATTGATCTGAAAGTTGCTTTTCCAAATCAGATACGTCTGGCCTACAAGTAAACTTTGATAAGTGAAAACAAAGTTTCTATATCTATTAAAAAATACTCCAGAAATCGTGTAATGTTTTCTGCAAGCAGATACAGCTTACTGGAGAGGGTATTTTTTTACGTCTGAACACATTAACAAGCTAAATAGAATAAGTTCACAAATATCAAAACATAAATTCCAGATTAAGCACAAATATTAAATTTGAAGGTTAATTGCTAGTACCGTCCCCAACCTTTACCACTGTCATCCCAATCTTCCAGTTTTAGGCGCATTTAGTACCTAATGAAATTTTCATCCAAAAAAAAAACAACCATTTTGGTAGCTGGAGAGGAAAAAAATTTCCCTTAAATAAACAAAAAAAGTTAAAAAGGGAAAAGAAAATTTGAAATGGAAATTTCTTAATCATCTTCCCCCACCCCCAATTCTGCTCCCCCTGCCAATATCCCCTGTGGCCATGATAAAGAGAGTTTCAAGAAACTGAAGCTGAACAACGGGAAAATTACCAGGTCTGGATTGATTATGTTGATAATAATGTCAATGTTATCATGGCAACTGTAGGGATGTCAAATCCTAAAGTACCATGGCCGATTGCTGAATGTTTCTCTTAATCATGCCTTAAGTTTTGGAATATGAAATGCGTGCTGGTTTTACTTCTGCTGATAGTTTTTATTGAAAATCACAAGATCTTGGCTTGCAGTTGCAGAAATTCTAATTTTTCACTTGAATGAGTTTTCCAAGACTCCGAATTATATATCTAAAGGCTTTATTGTAAGTATGACAGTGGGACATTCTTTATTACTGTCATATGTAGATCGTTTTTTTCCATTATCAAAAGGAGTAAGGGAAACAAAAGGGAGAGAGGAAATAGAAGACTGGCTATCAGCCACGTATCAACCAATTGGAGCAGAAATAAAAAGTTTTTCCAGATAGACAATGACATCGGAATTGGGAAAAGCATGATGGTCTACAGTTTGGGAAAAGCATGATGGTCTACAGTGGGATATTGCCAATGAAGCAGTAATTGCTAAGAAGCACATCTCTAATGAAATGTTCTGCTCCTGGGCAGATTGAAGCATAGAGCAAGCAGTGACTTCTCTTGCACAAATATGGCTAGACAAAGGCCAATTTTTCTTTTTTGAACCGAATAGCAATCCAACTCGAAAAGCAACTCTCTCTCCAACTGAACTTGCTCTTGGTCGCTTTATGCAACTCAAAAAAATTGACCAGAATGAGCCTTGCTTATGCAACTCAAAATATCTGACCAGAATGAGCCTTTCCCTCAGTTTCCAAAGGCTCCTAAAAATCAACTAACCAAAAATTGATGATACGTATTTTTTTCAAGCAGCTATAATATCCTGAGTCGGCAGACTAATGGAACAGGACTCATATTGTGCCATACAGAACCATGATTGAGGGATACATCCTAGGAACAGATCCGCAAGGCCAGTGAGATATTCATGCAGCTTCTTACGAATAGATGGCCAAGGCAAACAACATCAGCTGTAGCACTCTCAAAGTTGAACCAGGACTCCATGCAAATATGAAGAATGCCAAAGGAGAACAGAAACATCCCAGGCACCATGGAACGCTAAGCATCCTTCCTTTTGAGTTGACTAATGGAAGAAATGAGAAGACCTTGTTCTTGAAAACCAAAACAGAGTTTGGAATTTCTCCTCCCTTTAACCCAACACAAATAAAAAGCAACCAAAAAACAAAATTTGGTACACTGATACCACGGAATTCTGCACATCGCCTTCTGCAGAGCAAGACAATATATTGGTCCACAAGCGACAAAGGCCGCTTGGCAGAGAGCAAAAGATGAAGGCTAGTTTCTCCATGAGGTTAAACTATTGAAAATATTCAACAGTACGTGGTTGCCACAGTTCTGTAGCCAATTATATATCAGATTGGATCCTAAATTTGACAATGTACTTTTTAGTTCATCTTTGTCAATCACAAGTAAGGTCTTCTCATATTTAACATAAAGGTAATCTCAAATCCTTTTGGAAGTGAAACTATTGAAAGAAGAGCCTTCAGAGGTTAAAATCCACTCCCTATGTATAACAAATTGCAAAAGAAATCACATTTCAGATGAAAGACCTTTTACAATCAAGAGATATAAGAAAAATAATAATATACTTTCTCCAAATAAACATAATTAACATTTTTAGCACAAATAAATCAGTGGTGATAATAGTTATTTGGTTCCGACTGTTCTCGAGCCCAACCTGTATCAGTAGGCTCTAAATATAATGATATACATTGCAAGTCTTTTTCATTTTGTCACAGGTACAACTAATTCAAGTCTCCTCATATTTAACATATAGGTAATTACAACACCTTTTGAGATAGAAGTATTGAAATAACATCTTCAAGTGGTTATATCCACTTGTCATGTATAACATGCTGCAAAAGAACATATATTTGAGATTAAAAACTACAATCTAGAATTACAACTAAAAGAATACAATACCTCCATGTAAACATAATTAAGTTGTCCCCACCCCCACCGCCACTGCCACCGCCACCCCAATTTTTACTTCCCTGTCCCTCCAGATCATAATCTAAATCCAGTTATTATCTCAATCAAATGATAACCAAAGCCAAAAATGAATGTAAAACTTCGTCGAGGTCAACACCTCAAAGCGAGAGCAGAAAAGATTTCATTAGCAAAAACCAATCATCCTTCCAAGGAACACAAACACAAGCGTATACCTTTCACAATTTACAATTCCTAGAGATAATTACCAATGACTCAAATATCTCAACAAATCAGGGATGGGGTAATAATATGCAAAAGCTTCTTGAAAATCCATAACATCAGCAACAAAAAAGTGTAGACCAAGTCCATGAATGATAAATGGAATTCAAGCCTATCCATGCAAAATAAAACAACCTATTGATCTAAAATCTTAACTTGTTAGATAGGATTACATGAACATCATTTAAATATTATCTTCAACACGCCCCCTCAAGTGTAGACGAGATTCATTCTCTCCCATTAAAGCTTAACACGTTAAATGGATAGTGACAAGACATAAACCCGAGACATTTGCTGTTTTGGTACCATTTTAAACCTATTGATATAAAAGTTCAAGCAGTTAGATAGGACCACATGTATATCATTTAAATATTCTCCCCAACAAAACAAAAGAAATGGAAGATCATTGTGCCCCAGTTCTAATGTCTCAAAGCTTATGTAGGTGAATAATAATATATAGTGACAAAAATTAATTCCAAATTGCAGTTGTCCAACATCAAGATTAAGCACCATTTTGATAGAGATTAAAATCAGATTTTTAGTAGATTTTGATTAAATTTGATGAAATGTGTGGTTGAAAAGTTGTAGATCCCATGAAATGTGTGATTAAAATTAATTGTTGACTTTGATTTGAGATTTTAATTGGATTTTAATCCAAACAAGACAGGGGCTAAATGTGGGTGAGATAACACAATCAAAAGGTTCGAATATCTTAACATGAGCAGCAATGTGTAAATCAAGACTTACCAATGGCAAAAAAATAATAGTCTATTCACAGACAAAAAAGTTTGAATCACAATCGAGAGGCTGTTACACAAACCAAATCAAATCAAATCAGGCTAAGCTTTAGATAGACCGGTGACTGTACATTGTGAAAAGAAATAAATATATACACCAGTTTGTAGCATTACGTACATCAAGACTAATAACAAGTACAAAAAATGCTGTACCATATAAGCAGCAGGCATTGATTACATGTCCATAAGAAACAGGGAGGATATTCATCTACAATGAGTAGTTGAAAAAATGAATCTGCTGCATAAAGGTTTAATGGTACACGGAATGGTATTGCTTTGGTCTGAAAAATTGTAGAACAGCATGGCCGCTTAGAGATGAGTCCAAGAATTTGAAAAGATTTAATCCTTACAGTGGATATACAGATTGAATTTGCACATCTGCTGGAAACAACTTGCACTCTTCAGTAAATATTTGCGCTTGTTTCTCAGCTATGGCATCCATTAATTGTATGTCTCTTGCCACCTGCTCGTCAACACTGGTAAAATTAAGATCAAAAGGATTAACTTCGAAATCAGATCGAAAAGTGAACAAAGTCAGATGTTAGAGACATCAATTTATTATCGACTTTATATTAAGCATAAAATAAACTCGCCTCTGTTCAGGATTGTCCGCATAGATGCTTGCCTCTACAAGATCTACAATAAGATGAAGCATTTCGGTTCGATCTTCATAGCTTCCTCGTCCCTGCAATAAAAACATAGAGTACGTCATATTAAAGTGAAAAGTTCTTTAATTTCATGCTCTTTGGACTCATGCGATCCAATGTTCAATAAAATATATCTGGATATTATAAGTGCATGTCTGGGTAGCATTATAATTCCCTATAATTTAACCATCAAAGTCAAATTTTAATTATAACTATGCATTTCGTAGGCCATAAATACTACCCACTTATCTACCACTCATTTCTCTCACATTATAAATTTCAACAACTTATAATTTTATCCAAACAAGCACAAAATTTATGCAAGTTATTATAAATCAAAATAAGAGGGAAAAAAAATGTATTTTTCATCTGTTCTCTTGGTACATATCATTTTGCAATTCAATAGAGAAATACTCACTTGTTGAAGAACTGAATAGTAGCGAGAACGCCACCAAACTCTTCTACATCTACATGTTACTTATTCTTTTTTATTTGAAATACGGAATCATCATCCTCAGCAAAACCAAAACAAATATTATAAAAATATATCCATTTTATTGATTTAAACCAACAGAGGGCAATCCCAGTGCTTTAACCAGTGGGAACTTTAATTATATTACAGTTCCTTGTGGACAAAGATTATCACGATTGAAACTGAAGTGGGATGTCAGAGCAAGCAAAAGAAAAGGAATGAGAGGAAACGAAAACAAAGAAAAAGCTGTTCTGCTTGAGGTTTGGCAGTAAACCTCAACATTAGAAAATTAAAACTGTTTTCAAGATATTGCTTAGGCTATATGATTTAAGGCAGCTACATTGAAGTTATCACATCAAGTTTTGTGGACAAAATGGAAGTATTTGATCCGACCAAAATCAAAAGTTTTCTATTTCAAAAATCTGTGAAATTGATCATAATTCATTCATAGTTGTATTTCTGTAAAATAATAGTCCCAATGCATTTCTTTATTTGACTCACAACTCTTAGAGCCTGTTTGACGAAGATTTTTGATAAGAGGTTTTATAAAAAATAATTTTTTTTAGAATGTGTGGTTAAAAGGTAGAGAAAAGTTACGTGCAAAATTATTTTATTGGGAGAACTTGTGGTTGAAAATAAGTATTAAAGAATATGTATTGAAAATGGGCTTATTCTCTTTCCATTCCTTCCCCTCAAACACATACAGTATTCATGAAAAACATCAGGAGGCTAAGTAAATTTCAGATTTTGAACTCCCTTGGATAGCTTCTGTGTCTATGCTAGTAGTAATACCCAGAAATTTCGCAATCTCTGCCAAATCTGCAAGAAAGATTTCAATCTCATCTTAAACATGTGTATTCAAGCTGAGGTATAAGTATTACCCATGGACATCCTCTAACCACAAAATCAAACTGGAAAATAAAATAAATGTCAATGCAAAAAAGCATATATCGCTCTTTTCAGCAAAAACTGACTTTTATTACTGGTGATCGTTAAAAAAATCTAAATGAAATAAAAATTACAGAAAAAAATTGCATAAATAGCAAGGAAATGCAAAAGGGTGTGTAACGGGATTTAGAGTCAGCAATACATTGAATCCGAGAGGTTTCCTCGTCCCGATCCACGCCATCCCCTTGCAGATTTTGCTGTGAAAACGGGGATTTATCACCCAATAATCTGTAAAATTGACAACAAAATATTTAAAAATATCAGGAAAGTAATTCATTGCACACTCAATATATAGATGAAAACAACATGGAGAGATGGGTGAATTTATACTTGAAGAAGAGCCATTCGAGAAGGGCATAGCGTTCCATGCCAGCAAAGAGGAGGGACTGGGCAGGGGCATTGGCTCTTGGGTAATTTAGCATCGATAATTTCCTCTGTACTTCTTCCATTTGCTTGGCTGCCATTTCCAAAATTTTCAAATGCGCAATAATATATATGATTCTAGCACCACCGAAATGCTGTGCACATACCGAATTCAAAGTGGTTTTGAGGAGTAATGGGGCGGGGCCGGGCGGGTTCAGTACCGCTAATCGTCTCATTTAAAGTTAATTATAAATTTAATTTTTTATTAAATATACAAAAAAAAAAAATTTATTATCATTTTAAAGCAAACATGAGTTATTTTTAACAAATTGAAAAAACAAAAATAATATTCACTAACTAAAAATGTAAAAATAAGATAAAAGAAAAAAAATAAAAAGGTATGTAGGGAAATTTTAAATTCAGATGTTAATGAATTTTAGTGAAATTTGTTAAAATTTAGTTGTCCCCAACAGATATTTTAATAAATTTCATTGAAATCCTTTAAGATTTATGTTCCTCAATAACTAATGGATTTCAAGTTTAAAAATACATATAACAATTTTTTTTTTTAATTTTAATATTTTTAATGAGATTCTTATGTAATTTGTGAAAATTTATTCAAATTCACAGAATTCATTAGAATTTATAATCTTTTAAAATATCAAATCTTAGTTCTGAACAGTATTCTAAAATGCGTAATGCGTGGCGACACGTGAAGGTCAAATTATGGGTTAGACAAGCTTAGCGAGGCATATGCGTAAAAAAATGTAAAAAAACGTTTTCTTATTTCAATATTATTTTAATTTTTAATCAATCAAAAAATCATTTAATATTAAAAAATAAATTAAATAATGCATATCAAACATCTAAAACAGATTTATAAAAACCTTATACATTTTTTCAAAAGTTTCCAATAAAAAGATAAGTTTCAAATGTAAATCAACATTTAAATTTTAACTTTAAAAAATTGTAAATTTTTTTTTAAAAAAAAGAAAAAAGATATTAATCGCGCCTAGGCACGCATTAACGGTTAACAATTGGTGTTGACTACTAAACAAGGCACCAAGCCACTTGGCTTGGCCTTTTTACCACGCATCGCGTCTAAGCGGGCCATTTAGAATACTGATTCTTGACAATCATGTAAAACTAACATTAGTTTGTGCAATGCGTTGACTGCAGCCACAAGTCTTGGCTACAATGAAAAAACTCTTTCATATGTATCATCCCAACAATGTTGAAATTTTTTGGACATATCATTACAACATTGTAAATGAATTTAAAAAAACCAATTAAACAGACCTTTATAACGAATTATTTTTGATAAAATTAGTGCTAGGATTTTTGCTCCCCTTTAGTTCGTTGTGGTGTTGAAGAAGATAGATTTGGGGATGTTTTAGTACAAGCAACACAGTGTGCAATGATAGATTTGGGGATGTTATCACAGCTTCAATCGAGGGTTAGGTCTAGAGACTTTGATTCTGGGTCGTAGATCGTTATCACAGAGATTGATTTTCTGTAGTTAGGGGTTAGTTATGTTATCACGCAAGACTTTGATTTTTCTATAAAAACAAGATGTTGGGTTGGGCCGAGCTGGTGATTTTTAACTGGGAATTATTTTGGATCGGGTTGAAGAAATAAGGGAAATTATAAAAAATCAGGTGTTTAAATAGTGGTTTTTAAAAATCAGGTTTGTACATTTTTTATTCACTTTTCAGGTATTTTATTTTAAATATCAAACCATAAATATATCCAAAACTTAATTCATTTTCAACCCTAATTTCTCTCTCTCACGGCTGCCCCCCCTCTCTCTCCCTCCCACCACCCTCTTCCTCACCGCC